CTCAGAAGTAAAGTACCATATTAGCTATTTTTCACCTAGATCAGGGAGCAGCATGTAAGAACGTGAACATTTGACAAAGGAAAAAATAGCAAGAGGCATGTCTGATTCTAAGCATAACATTAAAGTGCCAGGAATAGGTTGGGGCATATTTTATTCCAGCATCAGCTCGGTCAGGCTGAGTATGTCATCAGCATCCAAGTCCTATCTCCCAGGGCAATCAGCAGCACTTGAATTGTGAACTCGCAGCTTGGGGACCAGCAAGGGGCTGCAGTGACCCCAGGCAGCCCTGCTGAGCACACGAAACGGCATCTYCCACAGCGAGCGCCTCCCCACCTTAATCCTTGTTCATAACCCGAGTGTGACCAGTGACAGGACAGCCGCAAAGGGCAGTATGAGACTGGGGAGGCTGATAAAGAGAACAGCCCGTTGCTGCATCCTATCCTTCCCTCTCTCCACGCACACAGGAACATAAAGCAGTACTTGTTATGTACTGTACAGCCAGAAGCAATGTTCACACGAAAAAAAAAAAAAAAAATTTAATAAAAACACACAGAAATCAGAGAACCTCTGATCCCTGTGCTTTTATTTGATTTCTTTTCACAAATAACAGCTTTTAATACCCTTGCTAACAAGAGAGAAATTTTTCTCCATTAAGCAATTGGTGGTGATTGCATGGCTCTTAACAGTTATTCCATATTTTTGGCAACAAAAAGTATTGAAAAGTATTTTGGATGCTTGATTTTGCATTTTGYCTATCTCTGGTCTCTTAGATCTGTGATTTTTTCTTTGCAATATATAGCACAATCCTTTCCTAACCCATGGCTGATAGGCGATAAGGACCCATCACTACAGTTCTTATCTTGTTATGCTCACTATTTTTTAAAATAATGTTATATTTCATGTTAAACCTGAGCAGTGCAACTGTGCAATTCCAAAGATCCTTTGCATCATGTTCTTTTTTTTTTCCTATGTCTTTACTTACAATTTTGAGGCTAAGCTAAAGGAAATCAGGAAGTGTGACTGAATAAAGAGATGCTTCATAACMAAACCAGTGAAAGATTGATGCCTTAAAATGTTTTTCCTGTGACTTAAGACCCCTGTGAGGAAGCCACTGCAATCTGAAATGCAGCACCACAAGAATTTTAAAGGCAAGGCATTTTTTTTTTTTTTTGATTGTACAAACACCAAACTCTGCTGCAAGGACACCTGTGATGCCGAGAATAAGGATTCCTCCCGCACGTTAACAAGCGCACTGACAGCTAGTTTATCAGCACTCCAGCACGGGCTGTCCTAGGGATAAAACTGATAGACTTTCTATTGCCATTAGGAAATCCAGACTAGATTCATTTTCATTTTCTCAGTCACTGAGCCTGAAAAAATGGCACAAATCTGAGCAGTTAATCTGATTCTCATGGGGAAAAGAGTACTATGTCATCTTTAAGAAAGATGATTTTTTCCTTCACAAATCCAGAAAACATGCTCAAGCACTTGGACTCCAAGCTTTTTGAAGACATCATTTCAGCACACAGAAATAAGACACAGAGCACTGTTCCGACAGAGGGGCGCTCAGTTTGCTCTGCTGTGAGCAAGGTGCAAGGGAGCAGGACCTGCACCAGAAGTACCCGCTCCCCAGTGCCAAGTGCAGCACTCCTGGTGGTTCTGCAGCACACTTTTTTACCATGTGCAAGCACGACTTGAGAAATTACCCCATGGTGAACRCCCTGGAGGGAAAAAACTGCTTCTAGAAGCCCTCATTTGGTCTCCATCACAGAATCTATATTTGACTTTTGTGTACAACTGTACAAGAAAAAGAATTTCATTCAAAGATTCTGAATGTGAGATTTCAAGGCAGCTGTGGCATTCAYTGGTGCTGTATTTAGACATTACAGATCACTAGATGTTATGCTCTGATCTTGTTGGCACCCATAGGCTGTAACAGATGCCAACATATGTCCTCCTGACATCTAATCCTACACTCACAGAAATACTGAAGACAGAGATTTGACTGGGTGCAGACAATATGAAAAAAAGCATCCATAGCACCTGCAAAATACTAGATCAGTGCCATAAAACAGCCTTTTGAAATGAGCTAACACCAAGTCTAGAAGACAAYGGGCAAAAAAGCTTCATAATGGGCAATAGTGGAAAGATGTAGGCAGTTGGAAAAGGAGAACCTCAAAGAACAAGTTCAAAAAATATATCTGGTAGCTACTAAATGTAAACTAGAGAAAAATGATCTGCACCTTSACTACTTGACTGCAGGGTGTGGACAGACAAGACAGCTTGATCTGCAATCAAACAAGGAGGCTTAAAAGCACCTCCTGTCCCAGTTTGGTGTGACTATATCTGCACCCAAGTCTTTCAGGCCTGACAATGTGGCTAAGGTGAGTGCTGTCAACACTGTGTAGACTTTGACAAGACCGTGGCTACGTTCACACAGGCTCTAGCACCACACAGAAGGCTTAAGAATATCSCAAACCTGTGGTTTGGAGTTACCTGCAATCCCTTCTTCCCCAAAAGCTCACAATCTGATTTTTAAACAAGACTAAACTCTAAAACATGAGGTTTACTATTCCCTCCAAAAATTTAATGCTTTTATATGACTCTAAATGACTTAATGACTCTAAATAATCTTTCCATCCACTCAATTTCTGTAATTTTTCATCTCAGAGAAAAGAAGCTATCACAAAAGAACAAGAASCCCAACAAAACACTAGAGGCCTCAACCAATATGCAAGAAACAGATGCACAGTACTCAGATGCTATTTTTATTTGTAGGTTAATAACAATTACAAATTACATTGGGTTATATTTAAGCATTACCAGAGCTACGGCTAGAAGAGTCTTAGATGGGACTGTAAAATGAATCGATCAGCTACATCCACAAACATATGGGGATTAATAGATACAATTTATTTTGCAAACAGAATGGCAACAGGTGAAGTAACACACCACACAGAATATAAAGGAATCAAACCATCAATGCCCGTCTTTTACTCATCTCTTTTACCATCGTTGTTCAGGCAAATTGAAGCCCTGCACAATCGATCAGCCTGGAGTCCTGCCAAATGCTCTATGCCCAGCAATCCATTTCTATCCAATTCTTTTTATATTATTRTTGCAAACAGTATCCCTGGTTGACTCAAAACAGGAATCAAATAAGACACTATACAATAGCAAGAAGTATAAGATATGAATGAAACAAGTTATAAAATAACCATATTCCACTTCCTAATTTTCCAGTCCACAATCTACACCAGATTCCCAGTTAGTATTTATCAGTACAGCTCTAATTATCCATTAGGCCAATTTATACCTCTGCAGATTTGGCTGTTAGTGTTTGCCATTTAGCACTAGGAAGTCAACGGAAAATCACAGACAGTATTATTGATTAACTCAATGAACACTCATCTGATCTCCACTTGGTCTGGACTCTGAAAATGGTTCTGACTCTAAACATATGAATTAATTTAACTATTTCACATTAACATTACATGAATACAACACATCGTAGTAATTTCCCAGCATGTAGTTGGATACTATCCTTATACTCCCTCTAGCTCATTTCATCTGTTTTCATCCCTCTGGCAAGAGTCAACTTTGAAATAATGAAATTTGTAAATTAGTAAATGTACTTTAAAGACCTTTCAAAGTATCTGAATATAGAAAGATTTCAGTACTGAATGTGCCCCTCAAAAATCGTATTTTCTCAAAACACAGCAATTACTGCAGTCCCTTCTAGAGTGACTGTATTCTGGTTTTGATTATGACACTTCCTTAGCTTTGAAGCCACAACACTGTTGCCTGTAATAATCTTGCAGATGGCAATACCGGTAATAGCACCCCTTAATATACTGTGCTGATTTCAGCAGGAGATCTTCCTTTCCTCTTCTGAATTCCCAAATTACATAGGTCACCCTTTTCTTCTGCACCAGCAGGTCCCATTTTGGATAGAGATTGTCCCCTCTTACTTATGCAAGAATATCACAGCCCAAACTGCCTTGGCATTCCCTTCCCTGTTGCTTTCCCCCCGTAGCTCCGTGCCATCCTGAATATTCATTTCAAGACATTTGCAGGAACTTGCTCAACACTTGCTTGGATCATTTTCAGCACAGTTTTGAGAGGACACAGGCTGCCTGTAGATCCTTTGCTCTAAATCATGAAGTTATTATTTAATAAATTGGCACTGGCAGATACTGTCTCGTTTCCACAGTCCCACTCCACAACTAAACATAATAGCAGCTGTTCCACACTGCTATTATTGCCTTCTTTCAAGTAGGCTGTCAAAGCAGAGTCTGTATCAGACAGAGGCGTTCTTTTTTCCTCCCTCTGCCTTTCTTCTTCCAGTTATAGACATATAAATTAATGATTAATTTTGAGTAACTGAGATCTTCAGAAAAAGTGCTTCTTTGCTCCTTCTTTCAGAAGCATCTGTACTGGAAGGAAAAAAAGACAGCAAGTGATTTGATATTATTTAAAAGCTCGTGAAGTTGGATACAGACTTAGATCCAGGCCATATTTAGCCTCCCTGCCCTTTATTTACTTTTTTTTTTTTTTCTTTTAAGAGAAGATTTTCACAATCTGAATCACTCTCCAGGATGCAAATTTCATGTCCCACTGGAGCCTCATCAAAGCCATGGTGTGTCTCTAGGCAAAGTTCCCAGGACAGCGCTCCCCTCAGACACACAGTGTTCCTCCCAGCCTTGTCCTCAGCCACGCTGACATCTGCCCTTTTAACAGGATCCTTCAGCCAAGGCCACCTGCCACTGCAAAGAACCTGGAAAGCTGAAATCCAAGGAGTCACTAGACCAAGGCAACACAAGAGTGACACTAAACTTCTCCCCTGTGGTGACCCATTGATCATGGATGGTCACCTGAGAAACAAGGAGAAGAAAAGGGAGTTGAAGCACTAGAGCAAACCTGGGAAAACCTAGCGGGCCATGCAGCACCACCCCAGTCAGGACAGCAAGCTGAGTGCAGCCACAGCAGCAACTGCACACTCYGCATTTCTTCCTTCGAGGCGGAGCACACGGTGCTCCAGATGGTGCCAAGCAGACCACCATCCTCTTCTCCCATCCCGGTACCTCGGCACTTGGGTTGTCACCAGGCTAATAGCACATAAAGCAGAAGAAGCTTTTTTTGCTGAAGTTAGGCTAGTASGTTATGCTGCACTCATGACCAGGCCACATGTAGCCTTGCATAAAGCAAAAACACTTGGTTCCTTAAGATGGAAGTATCAAAATAATCGCATGGCATGTTAGTTCTCACCTATGAAAAACACCTTGTCTGTAGTCTTTTGTTGCTAACAGCACTAACATATAAACAAAGAATAAATATGCTCTATCAGAGGGTAGGTTTTGAAATCCAAACATATTCATCAAAAATTTAAATTTGCAGGAAGTCCCTAATTCTGTTTCTCAACTGGCAATCAGCCATTTTGTACATTATGTTACTGACAAACTTTAATTAGCTCTAATTCACACATTATAATCACTGTCTAGAAAATTTGTGATGCACTTGTTACGAAGCAGACTTGCATCTTTATCAACGTGCAGTTGTTTAATATCACAGAAGTCACTAATGTAATAAAAAATGGCTCTTTTCATATCACAAACTCTGATTATAGATGACATTTCTGTCTTCCAATTAAGTACTCGCTTCCCCTCTCATTTTTGAGGGATATTTCCAATATGACAGCTAGATAAAATTAAAAACTCTCTTGACTGAACACAAGCTTAAAGAGGAAAAAACAACAAAGGACACCATTCCTTTAATATAGTGATTATAATTTTTAAAATAGGCTTCAACAGGAGGCAGAAATTAACCTAATTCAACTCTTTTGAAAAACCTTCTTTGCATACACTTACATTATTATGCTCTCAAATACATTCGAAGAACTGACTTTCAGTCTAACTACAGCTGAGAGTTGGTGCCATTTAGGCTCTTACAAGCAAGATACACAAACGGTTTTACAACAACACGTCCCRTTCCTATACAGCTCTTCATCATCCACAGCTGATTCAGGCAGTGTATTTACCAGCATTGTTCAGAGCAGCTTTAGTGCAGCCCAGTTATCAAGTGTGGCGTGTCATGAATTTGCAGGACCTATTCAGCGAAGCATAATTTCCCCAAAGCAGTAAGCACAGAAAGCAAATCTGGAGGTGCAGGTGAATGGGAGCCAAATGAATAATCAGTATAAAACCTTGGGAAGAAAAGCTGTTTGTCTGAACAGATTGGCAATATAATGGYGCTTTATTTGCTGCAGTGCACTCAGGCACAGGTACTTCTCACTCTGGGTGTTTAGCTGTCCAAAATAACTCCATAATYCCACCTGTTCTCCAAGCTAAAAAATCGTATGATAGCTCTTTCCTTATTTGACTTACATTTGTGCCTGTGCAGAGACACAAAGCTACATTAAACACGAGCCATTTCCTACAGCCACAAATGAGCCTCTCAAACTAGCAAGAGAGTTCAACTGTTTGCATATATAAAGGCAAATTTCACGGCACTGATTGATTTTCACAAGCCAAGCAGAAACACAGAGGGCACTGCTCACTGGACAGAAATGAAGTATTCCAGGAACGGCGAGTGAGAGTGAACACAAGCACAAGTACATCCCTGACTCCAGAGATAAACAGCCCACAAAGAGGAACAGGAGACACCTATGGCAACAGATACGTACCAAAATCCAAGCCTCTCCTCTACATGCTCCACACAGTAACACCACCCTCATGCCACCAGTTAGCAGTTTTGCCAGTATGTGACCTTTTGTTTGCTATCAAATCGCCTCCTCAGCAGTCAAATCATCTGTTTGTCTGTGTATCTGATGCTCTGAACATCCTAACCACCTGTTCACATACACAAAGGATGTTTGGATCCTCCCTGCTCTCTATTGTAGCAGCTCAACAACTACGACAGGGAGCTCCCAGCTGGGTACRAGCAAAGCAGTAACACTGCACAGCCGGAGGGGAAAGAGATGTCGGCAGAGCACATTTATGTAGGGAGAAAATTAGAGACTGGCACCCTTAGCAAGAAGTCGTCCCTTTCCTAGTGAGTGCCATAAAAGAAAGATGCTCAGAATAATTACTACAATAGGGATCTTAAAATGTTAGTTTGTACAGTAGTCTGGGGAGCATGTAGTTCTGATTGACATWTTGGCTGGAAAAGGAACCTTACTTAACAATCTCTGTTTGCTGAATTAAAGCACTAATAGAGGCAGTTTGATAAAAGTGATGTCACTACTTGAAACCAAACCAAAAAAATGTTTTTATGACTTGGCTCCAGCAACTATGAAACAGTATTTAGAAATAGAGATGATAGCCAGGATCTTGGTTTGGGTACATTTGAATCCAACCAACATTAAGTAGCAGGAAATCTCTACAGTTCTCTAGCACTGAAACTGTCCCCCTTGCAGCTGAATGCACGCTGTTCACCAGAACTGCAGTGTTGGATATTTCACCTCCTCACACAGATGTGCATCCATTTACTCAGTCCACACATCACCCATGATCATCTTGCCCAATGTAGCCACTTAAAATCAAGCTTTTCAGCTAAACCATCATCTAAATTCCAGAGGTAAGAGAGGACAGAGGCACTWCTGGTGGGCATTTCACCCTGTCTGAAATAAGCATCTAATACAAATTGGGAAGATCCATTTGTGGAGGTGATTCTTTTCCTTTACCATTTAAATGAAGCAAACAGATCACTTTGGGCTGCTAAAATTAGGTGAGATTAATCACCCTGTACATATCTCAGATGTTAATGAGCACATCCCTAAGGGGAAAGAAATATCCCTGTATCTAACAGGCACATTAAGGTCTTCAGAAGGTGAAAGTCTTTGTAAGGGTTTCTAAGTGGAATTTGTCAGTGTTAAGTCTAAAACTGTGACCCTGAAAACCTTTCCTGCTTGCCTACCTACCACAAAGCCTTACTCTTATTGCAGTTTCCCAAGCAATTACAGGTGTCCCAAAATGAACTAAYCTTAGCAGGACCAAATATCCCAGTGCCTAATAGGTATGAGCCCCATCTGGATCCACAAATTGACAGTGTCCTGCCTCTAAATTCCTTTGGAGCATGCAAAAGAGAATGGTGGATAGACCTGAAAGTGCTCAGAGACTACATACATTACCCCGCAGGGCCCAGAAAAGAGCAGGGCATATGTGTGTGTAGTGAGGAGGACACGTGTGTGTGTGTGTAGTGAGGAGGACACACGTGTGTGTGTGTGTGTAGTGAGGAGGACACACGTGTGTGTGTGTGTGTAGTGAGGAGGACACACGTGTGTGTGTGTGTAGTGAGGAGGACTCGTGTGTGTGTGTGTGTAGTGAGGAGGACACACGTGTGTGTGTGTGTGTAGTGAGGAGGACACGTGTGTGTGTGTGTGTGTGTGTAGTGAGGAGGACGCACAACACTGGGTTCCTAGGAATCTGAAAATCCTGGCTCATGGCATTTCAAAGTCAGCACTCAAAATAACCGTTGATTTTAAATGCATTCTCCCATGCTCAGCCACATCTCCACTTGCCTCCTCTCTCACTGAGATACAATTACAGCAGTGACAGCTGTATTTGAACAGTGCAGGGAAGTGCTCAGCAAGGAGCCAGGTTGCCTTGCTCTAGATCATGGTAAGAGAAACCTCCATAGAGGCACATCACAGTTGGCCTGTATCTCCACAAAGATCTAAGCATCCAGGCATAGAAAGAASTGCATGAAGCAGAATTAACCAAAAGAGAAGAGCTGAAACGCTCACTCACAGTCAAGAAACGGGACCATTACTGCTGGGGCATAGGCAAGAACCATAAGAATCAGCATCTCCACAGCATGCCCAAGACTTGATAGACTGGAGTGAGTCAAGTTAGGGCAAGAAACCAAGCATGAGCCTCTGTGTTTGATGGATAAGGAGGTCTGGATAAGGACAAGAGAGAGGGCAGCCTGCAAGATCACAGCCCCTGTTATGAGTCCTCCAGAAATGCTTGTGGGAAAATGAATTGTTCTGTTCCAGTGTGAGACATGAATGATGCAGGAAAAGGAAGATAGAGAACTGCTACCTGAGGAAAAATAGAAAAAAGAAAAGCTACTGCAGCACTCTCCATGAACTACATGATACAGACATCCTATATCAAGAAACAGCATATCTTTGTACAACACTCACTGAGTGAGTAATACAAGCTAAAACTGCACAAGCAATAGTAATTCAAGCATTTTCTAATTTTGAGTGATCGCCTCTGTAAATATCTTTCTGGTATTGTTTTTACATGTACTTACACACCAGAACAGAAATCCAATGTTTTTACAATATTCCACCTCCTCGTAGTATCAAGGACAACCAAAATTTTTAAAGTATTGTTCTGCATTCCTCCAAGTCTCAGTTACATTCATCATTTATCACAAAGRTACAATCATAACAACCACCACACAGACTTTAATATTTTTTTCCACCTGCTGCATGAGAAAAATGATAAGATGAATAGTTCTTGGAGCGCCAAGGAAAAATGGTCTTTGGGAAACTCTCATCAAAAACCAGGCTAAACTCAAATTTGATACCCAGGCATTGACAGTTTCATGATCCACAGACTGAGCTACACAGACTGCATTTATTCTTCCATGGCACCAGCATTAGATTAGTGTCAGGTTGTATTTTTATTTCCAGCTTGAAGGGTGCTGTTTCCATTACACAAAGAACGCTTTACCTCTTTACCTGAAAGTTTTTTTTTTTTTTTTTAAATAATGATAGCCACTGGTCCTTATAAAAAATAATATATTTTCTGCACTTTTCTTGCACTTGATATTCTAGGCTGTCACAGCTATGGGGACAATACTTCAATATGGAAGATCCTGAATTTGGTATCTGAATGGAGATTACTCAAAATAATAAAAAGGAAGTCAGATTACCATTTAATTCTCAAATTTATATAGGAACACATTGTCCCCAGAAGATCTACTGCCCCAAATCCTTTAAGTGTCACTCAGTTTTAACTATACTATATAACTACGTAGAATTTCAGGATCACTCAGAAATCATCTCTTTCATTCAGCTATTCAACTCAAAAGGAAGTAATTCCTACAGACTGAAAGAAGATTCT